GCATATGAAGAAGTGGGCTGTAGTCCATGAAAGCTTATGCTCTAATAAATTTGTTAGTCTCTAAGGTGCCACAAGTACTCCTGTTCTTTTTGCAGCTACTAAGTTGCGCTGCTGCTCTAATTCCCTGGGCCACTTCCCTGTGGCTCCGGCACATTCTTCACCCTTACCTCAGGGCCTTGTCCTTGTGGAGTCCCAGCAGCCAGCCTGGAGCACCATCCGCTCTCCTCCAGCTCTCGCAAGGAACTGCACTGGCTCTGGCTCTGCAGCTCTTTTTATACTGCCCCGCTGGGCCCTGATTGACTGTGTGATAGTCAGCAGCGACCCCACCCTTAACAGCTAGCAGCCGTTATGGCAGCCAGCGGCCATTAGGGGGAAGCAGATACCTCACTACACAGTAGCCTGAACTTTTGAACTGTCTTCTCTCCTCTGCCTTAAGGCAGAGGGAACTAGCCCCAAGCTGGTTTTCACTGATCAGATAGCAAAAGCTCGGTTCTGGCAACCACCAATCAAGTCTTAACACGGCAAGGGCCTTTGTCTGAATGTGTATAAAGAATCTGTAAAATGTGTGTAAGACAGAGTTTTTGTACCAAGGTGCAAAGCTCTTTCTTCTGCAGAATAAAGCAACTCTTCCTTATCCCTGTCTGTCTGTTATTGGCTCTCAGCTAGGTGGACCTGATATTTCAGTGACAACTGCTTCCCACACAGCCGCTTAGGCAGGTTAGAGGACCTCTCTATTGCCCTTTTCTTGGGCAGAGTGAGGAAAGGCCTTGAGGCCTCCAGCTGGGATGCTCAGGGCCTAGTCCACCGCCTCACAAGACCAAATAAGCTCCTCAGAAAAATGGGGAAGAAAAAAAACCTCTGAAATCTCTGACAGCTATCTAATTCTATACTAACAACAAACAACACAACACTATACTATCTAAAAACAATTACAAAACATGCTGAGGCAGGCATGAGGCAGACATGCTAGAGCTCTGTCTCAGGCCAAGGCAGTGGAGAAGGAACTGTGACTGGTTCACCTGTACAGCCCTGTATACCCTCAGAGTGAAGGATGAGGTTGTGTAGAGCATGTGTGCAGGCCAAACAGAAACTGCTAATGGAAAATATCTGATCAAGGGCTCAAGAAGCACATGCATATGTGAAGTGGAGCACACATAGGGACACCATTAGAAAAAGAATAATTTGTTCCAGTATCTTTTCGGGTATCAAAGTTCGGCTGAATTCCCCGGTCCTCTTAGTACCTATCATTAAAAAGGGGAACAATGTGCGCTCTTCTCCCCTCCTCTGGGACCACACCTGTCCTCCATGAGTTCTTGAAGATAATTGTTAAAGATTCTGTGATTGCTTTAGCTAGTACTTATGAATCCTGGGATAAATTTCATGAGGCCCTGCTGCCTTTAATATATATAACTTATCTAAATATTCTTTAACCTGTTTCTTCCCTATTTTGGCTTGCATTCCTTCCCATAGTTGTTGATATTGTGTTGGGTATCTGGTCACTGTTAACATTTTTAGCGAAGACTGAAGCAAAACATGTATCACAATGGGAATAAAACAAATATATGTGTCTAGAAGTAAAATTTTTCTTTACAGTTCCATTCCCGGAATGTTAAATGATGGCAAGCTAACAGGCTAAGAAAAATATAGCATAGGCACTTGCATGAAGACTCAAGAGGCAGACATACTAATTAATTAAACCTTGCAATAATCCCTGGTGAAGCTGTAAGTAAGCACTGCTGCATTATGTCCATTTTACAGATATAAACACAGACACAGAGCTTGTGCAAGGTCAGACAAAGTCTGTAGCGGTGTCAAGATAAACAACAGACCTTCTGACTGCCCATTCTGTACTTCAACCCTAAAACCATACTCCTTCTAATTGTACGGGGAGACGTCAGCCAACCAGTAAAGTGCCTGAAACCACTATGGCTTATTGCTAAAAGCAGCCAAGTCAGCAGGCTGTAAATTGGCCATGTTGCAGCCTCAGCTCAACCAAGGCAGGAGGGGAGGGGGTTTTGGGTGCCAAAGAAAGGGCAGCTTGACCCTGTGTCCTTCTTGATAAGAATTGTGTTGAAGTTGCTGATACATGCATTTTAGAAGAGCAGGATGTGCCCCAGGAATGTCTATTGGGGGGGCCTCAAGGCTGCAAACTCTGGAAAAACCCACACCTGGTTAATCGATAATCAGAAGGAACTTCTTGCTTGACCACAAACTACTTAGTTAACAAGTTTTTTTTAAGGGACATGTCATTCTATTACTAATGTATAAATAAGGGGAAAAAGTTTGAGGTAGCTGGACTCTTTTGGACTCTCCCTCTGGATACATTTTGCGGTCCCTACCGGCAGAGGGAAGATTTGGCCACCGGAAGTCTGCCGCTGTGTCACTCGAGAGCCACACTCAGCTTTGGCAATTATCAAGTGCTGGGGGTGTTTTACTAACCTGTTGCGGATGTGTGTAAGTGCTTGAGACTAAGTAAAGTTTAGCTTTAAGTGAAAGCACTCTTGTGTTGTCCTGTTTGTGCCAGCCATCTATTGGTCGGACAGCCATGTCTCCCCTGATTTATTTCCTAACACCACTTTGCACAGAGTAAAAGTTACCAAGAACTTTGGGTTGAAAGAACCCCAGGTAACACTAATCTATGCTAGCTAGTAAGACTGATGGATGACTATTTACTGAGGAGCGAAAAAACAACTCAAACCCAACAAGAACTTCAGTCAATCAGAAACCAACTACTTTGTTAAAAATAAAATATACTGTGTGTATATACACAAATAAATTGGTTTTTTATTGTCTGAAATTCACAATAAGGTACATGATGTATATAGATCTTGCCTAGAAGCTGGGGTTAAACACACTGCATCTTAGGACATAACCTATTTATCAGCTGTGATAAAAAGTGGTTTTTTTTTTAGAAAAGCACGCCAGGATTATCTTTATTTTTCAGATTTATACATATGTTTTTGCATATATATTTGATATACCAAAACTTGAACACATAATTTATAATACAAGAATTAATTTCCATGAATAAAATCCTCATCAGTTTGCAAATTTATTCAAAATTCATTGTTTTAAATAAAGCAGCATTAAAATCCGATAAATGGGGTTGAGGAGGAAGAGGAAAATAATGACCACAAAGAATTTGCATTTTGTCCTTCCCAAATATCTTTCAGGCAAGTTGAATCTTTTTTCTCAGGATAACTTGTAAAACCCCCAAAATCTGAATTTACTTCACTTGTCTGAAATAATTCCACCAGAGTCTGCATTGGGGAGCAACATGCATTTTTCTTTTCTTCAATAACAGATACATCATCAGTTTGCTTTACACATAACTCCATAATCTGTCTCCGGTTTCCTCTTTTATTTTTTCCTAAGGAAAGTTTTACTTTTCTGTGCAGCTTTCCAGAAGGTGAGCTAGGTGCACTATTGACAGCCCATTCACTAGTTGCTTTGCTTGTAGAAAGACAATGTGGTAGCGTCTCAGTCTTCAGAACTATATGATGCTCTCTCTGTGGATCATTATCCACACCAAAATCTAATTGTTTTTTGTTAAAGGCTGAATTGGCATCTGTTTTCTTCAAATATTTTGTTGGTAGAACAAATGAATTATTTAATTTTCGTTTTGGCTGTGAGGTATTTTTGTCTTTTTCATTACTATCAGTGACTAGACCATGAGTATATAACTTTGTTTGCACTCCTTGTAAATTCTTTCTATTTAAATTTACTTCAGGTTCAAATACTTCATTACTAGAATGCCCATAAAATTCAGATACGTTCTCAAGGTATGTTTTGTTGTCTTTCTGGGGAGGTAGCTGTATGAAGTTTGGCGATAAATCAGTCTCTTTTAGATTTAAAGCACAGGCACCTTCTATTTTAACATTTTCAGCATTACCTCTGAATTTACTTACTAGTTCGGAAGGAAATGATGGATGGCAAGGAAGAATAGAACATACATGTTCAGAAATGGAGTTACGTTTTTGTACCGAACTGTGGGATACTTTTGTATGTTGATGGTCCTGTTTCAGTGCCTGCACTGTAGTATCTTTCCAAGAATAACACTTGAATGAAATGTGTTGTCTTTTTACTCGTTCTTTCAGCTCATCTGCTTTAGTTATGTTTCCAATAACAGGAGAAAAGTATCCCATATTACATTTTGTCCTAAAATTAAACAGTTTACAACATTAGAATCCAAAAGAAATATTTGAAGGAAACAAAAGATATCAGATTACTTTAACAAAACTTAATCTGTTAAATGTATCAAGGTGAGTATTAAGATGGTTATAAGAATAAAGACAGTTTTGTCAAAATTATTTGCTCTAGTAAATGCTTATATTACCACAGGATCAGAAGGCACCATATACAAACTTCAATATTCAGAATGATTTCTGCAGCTTCTTAAATCGTTTTAAAAATATTCAAAGAAAATGGCTTTGGGTTTAAACAAAATCAAGTTCACAAATAGTAATCGGCATTTAAAAACGACGACCATGTTAAAAAATGTGATGTAAAATGACAACGCGCTCAAGGCACTTAAATATTGTATAATTTTTTCAGTTTAATCAGATTTAGCTTTTCACCCTTACTAAGCATTTCCAAATCACAAAAGGAACAGGAGAAGGGGATACACTAATGGGCTGATCCTGCTCTTGTTGAAGTCAATGAGAGTTTTGCCATTGACTTCAACTAGGAAAATCTGGTTTCTCCATGTCATTCCTCTCTATTATACTTTTAGAAAAGACAGAAAAAAGAGAAGAAGGTTTGTTCATCTCCTGAATCCCTGAGGGAATACAACAGAGCAATCTCTATTATTGCCACTGTTGTAATCGGTGAAGGCATTTGAGTTGGAGTCCTTTTATTTTAAGAGTGTGTGTTCATGGACGAACATTCTCTGAAAGATTCTTAGATATTGAACCTATTCCAACTCTTGGTTTAATACACACTGTATATCCTATCTTTTCACTCAGATTTTGGCAAAGGGACGTTGTGACGGGCGTGATTTTGGTGACGGGGGGCTGGGAATGGGGAGAAGAGGCTTTTGATTTGAGTATTGAGCTTTTTTGGTGTTATTATAGGTTAGCTGCTGATTTTAGTTGTATTTTTCTACATATCTGTCAAAGAAAAGAGTAACAGGTAGGTGACTTTTTTGTATAATTATAAATCTAAATAAAATAAATAAGTATGATGGATAAACTGTTAACAAACCTTAATTATAATCTATGTCAACATGTACCACTGTAACAGTTCTCTTTTTTTAGAATACCTGGCAAATATATCTCGTGAAATAAGAGAGCTGAAATACACCAGACTTACTTTTTCTTTTAAAACTAGGTCTCTTACGTGTAACATCAATAAGTTTCAGTGACCTATCTAAAACTGAAAACTATTAATTAGTTCTTTACCAGATTTATACTCCCAAAGCTACAACATCTTTAAATCTCTGGCTGGCTAACTCATTTATGGGGATTTTTAAAGTTAGTAAATGTGAATTACCTTTTCATTTTTTGTGTATCATCTCTGTAGTCCACAAAGTCATAAACAAACTTGGATATTATATCATCCACAACTTGATATTGGGTGCTCTGTGCAAAGTTTTGGTGCTGTTCACTTTCAAGATGCTGAAATTAAAAAAAAAAAATACATGAGACACATCGTGTACTGCAGAAATCTGTATAGAAATAAAATGCCTCCACTAAAAATAAAACAGTAGCTTCTTTCTAAGTAATCTTAGCAGCCCTTCGTGTAGTCAGCAAGACAGTACTAAATTCCACTAGAGAGAAAATTTCTGTTTTTGTTGTTTAAAAGAACTTTTGAGTATATCGTTAAGTCAATTAATACCCATTAGGCAGAAAAATACTTGTTGATGCCACATTTCTAAGCACCGTATAACAGTTGAGCGTACAATATGTTACACTTACAGTTTGCAGATCTTCATATTTCTTCATACAACATTCACAATACCCTTTCTTTTTCTTATCCTTTAGAGGAAGTTGAACTGGACCACCACAGTCTTTGTCACTATTTGTTTTGTTTCTGTTAGCAAAAAAAAAGTTGTATGTATGTAAAGAGTCAGTTACCTGTCCATATGAAGTTGGACCTTTAAACTTGCTAACTATAACATGGTAAAAATGTTAAGAGAACCAAACATTTTAGAACATCAATCAAATCAGAGTGAACAAAGATTCATTTCAGAGGACAGAATACTGGACTAGGACTTAGGAAACCTGGCTTCTATTCCAGGCTCTGGCACTGGCCTCCTGGGTGACCTTGGACAAGTCCCTTTGCTTCCCTATGCCTCATATCCCCCATCTGTAAAGTGGGGACAATGATAATTACCTCCTTTTGTAAAGCACTTTGAGATCTACTGATGAAGAATGCTATGAGTTAGGTATTAACTGTTGAAGGTGTAAAATGCCCCTGATCCTTCTCATATTAAACCCCAGAGGGTTGTTTTCAGCAACTGTTCCTCTACTTCCAGAGCCCTCACCTGTGGAGTCCTACAAGGCAGAGTTTTCTATTCCACATTCTCCAATAGCTACATGAACATGTTGGGAAGCAGGTGTAACAAGAATGCTGTACCAGCAGTATGCCAATTGGCACCCAGCCCCACATCTCCTTTACCTCAAATGAGCAGTACTATCTCCCTGTCTAGCCAAAATCAGCATCTTCCTATTGACTCAGACTTGGTCACAGTAATCCACAAACATGACCTCTAGGCTTGATTACTGAAACTCATTATATGAAAGAGTGAAGCCACATGACCTGAAAAAGCTCCTACTGGTACAAAACATAGCAATACTTCTGCTTCCGCACAACAGGTTGCCTTGAGTATACAACTTTAGAACTCTACTTTCTGCATTGGTTCTCCGCTGAATACAGAGTGCAATTCAATTCTCTTCCTGATGTTCAAATTCCACAGGACTTGATCTAGCTACTAGAGGTATTTTCTCTAAAATCATTATCTTTTTACCCTATATCTGTTCTACTGGAACCATGGAATTGTCAAACAACTGGGGAAAGTTTGTGAGCATGGTAAACAGAACTTTCATATGACCAGGACCAAGACTGTGGAACTCAATATTTGAAGAAAGAAGAATGACCACAGGCCTTACTGCATTCAGAACTAAGTGTTTCTGACAACTTTCCTGCAACAAATTCTTCTCTTTCAGATTTACAAACAAACAAAACAATTTCTTCTTCAGGCTGTGAAGGGAGAGATATCATTATTTCTAATTTAATTATTAGTTAGGAACTCAGATGAGACACGGAACAAATAAATAGATTAAGGGCTTATCTACACTTACAGTGCTGCAGCTGCGTCGCTGTAGCACTTAGTGAAGATGTTACCTACATCAAGGGGAGAGCTTCTCCCATTGGTGTAGGTACTCCACCTCCCCAGCAGACAGTAGCTATGTTGACAGGAGAAGCCCTCCCGTAGACATTGCGCAGTCTACACCAGGAGTTAGGTTGGTATAACTACATTGCTCAGGGGTGTGGATTTTCCACACCTCTGAGCAACGTAGTTATACAGACATAAGTTCCTAGTGTAGACTAAGGAAAAATTAAGCAGAAGAGCATAATTCCAGAGGATACCTTCCTTGCCCACCCCAATTCCTGACAAAACAAATAAAAAAACACACTACACTCACTCACTCTCTCTCTCTTTTTTTTTTTTGAGAAATATTAAGTCCAGGAGGGTGCCTTCCAACCACCTCACCTCTATACTCTTAGTGCTAACTTAGGTGACAGGAGCACTACCGGAAATCCCTACAATGCCCTGAAAGTTTCTGCTGTGTTGCATTTCCCTCATTTTTCACAAAGCCATAGGCATTACAATCAAAGCAGATAGGAAGCAGGAGATTGACCATGGCAGCATCAACAGAGAGAACCACTAGCAGTGTACCATCGAGAGTAGTATAAAGGACTGGGGCAGTCCAGAAGCTATTATGTATTAAGATAATAAACATAACTGACTGTCAATTTAGATGATTTTTGACTGTGCTCTTAATTTTAGAACAGGTAATGATAGGTGCATTATTTAAATTTCAACCCAAAAGGACAAAGTGAGAAAGTTATGAAAAACAGAAAAGAGTTTTAGAATGAAGTTATCATCTCAGCGCACCACCTCTATAATTCAGTACAGTGAATGCTGTAACATCAATTTTAGAAGTCAATGCCATAAAGCAGTTCCAACGGCCTAAATGACTGGTTGGAAGGAGTTCATGGTCAGAATCAGAGCCTGATACTTCAGAAAGCACCCCATTAGACACTTAATTAGATAAAAATCACCCATGTAATTTGCCAGAAAGCATAACTTTGAATAGCAGTGCTCAAAGTGCAGCCTGAGTGCCAAATACAGCACGTGACCAATTAAGTGCAGGGTAAGAACAAAGCTGATCAACTGCATATTCTTATTGCCTGTATACTCATGCAGTAAGTAGTCACCATTCACCTCTCAAGGAAGATACAAATTCAAGAAATATTAGGGTATGGAACATTTTGTTTTATTTAGAGAAAATTAAGTTTACATGTAAATTAAGTGCATTCTTCACCATCATGTAGTTTGGGCACCATGACTTAGGATGATAGTTTTAAATAAATTTAGTTAACTTGTAGCTTTTTACTGGCAAGTTAAAGTGAACAGCTCTGGAGCCAAGATAATTCATTTCTTGCTGTACTTACTGGAGGGCATCCAGGAGGAGGATAGAGGCAAGGTATCAGCAGTGGAAAGGAGGAAAGAGAAGAAGTGTCACAGCCTGCACTGACCCACAGCAATATGTTTATGATGCCTGCATTTGTACGTCCAAAAAAGGACATAAAGAAAGGATAAAGGAGGGAGAAAGAAAAACGGACAAAATTACCAGTAGATTCAACAAATGAGACACTGGTATTGGTATAGAGCCCCATGTAAAACTAATACTAAGAGGGTCAATTTCTTAGAGACTGAAGAAGGAATTTCCGTATTTTTTCCTCAACAAACCTTTGTTTAGACTGAGTTTGCTTTTGGCCACTAGCATTCTTCTTATCTACATCAAATGGACTATAAGGTTTTGGAGCAGAATAGTTGAGAACAGGAAAGCTGGATAATTGCAGATAAAATGGTCTGTAACGGCTGTAATAGACAAGAAAATAGTTGTATTAGAATAACCAAACCTGAAATACAGACAATAAAACATCTATTTAGAGCAAATTAAATACACCCTTATATTCAGAACCAAAAAAATAGTTTTTCTTTCTTTCTGGCAGCTCATATACATGCAATTTATTATTGCCTCCTATGAATATCAAGCAGTTAGCTATCAGACAAGATTATGAAATATTTTCCTTCTTCCTTCCCTCAACTTGCTGCTTTTTTCAAATCATAAGATTTGCTTCTGGTGGCTATAGCTGTATTATGCATAACATCATATTGATGGCTTTTGTCCCTCCTCTGCATGCAATCTAGGAGCTTGCTAGAGTAGACTGCAAAGCTAAGAACTGCTCAGGTAAATAGTGTATTCATGTCCCTGAGGAATACAGATAGCACTTCCAAACATAAACCCATCAATTTTATATCTTTTGCACAGTTTACAGTTTATTAACTAGAAAAAAAATCAACTCCAAGGAGGGAGAAAGATCAGTGAATGTGTACATATGCAAAAAACTTTCATAAACAACTTAAGGGAATTATTGCTGCACAGAACTGTACCTGAAGCTATTGGATCTAGAAAGGTTGCCTAATCTGCAAGTACATTCAAATATATTTAAAATATGTGAGCAGTGAAGTTCTTCATTAAATAGGAATTCTGGTATTTGGCTTTAGCTCAATTTTTCAAATCTCTAATAAAAGCTGAATGGTCTGAAGAAACCCACTGCCCCCACCCAGCTACCTGCAGCATTCCCAGCTCAGCTGCTTGGTCTCCCTTTCTCTTTATGAACAGATATTTGTATATTATGTAAACAGCCAGAAGTGTGTTAGGTGCTTTACATATATTGTGAGGTCAATGCCTCAAAAATAGCAGTCTAAAGGGCAAATCCATGCTTATTTGTGCTTTTCCTTTCTTCTTCTATTCAGGTTCTTATGCTGCACCTATAGCCTTGTCTATTTGCCAATCCCTGCCATGTTTATTTGCCTAATTTATGTCAACCTCTCTCCCCCTTTCACTAGTGCTAAATCCCTACCACAACTATGGGAGCCTTCTGATGTACACTATAAAATTATGATGGCTCAGAAAAAGTCTTCAGATGTGTGACTGGCCAGTGAGTCTGGAGTTAGCAAGGACCAGCATAAAATGGAAGCTAATTACAAATTGAGATGGGAAAAAAATTACAGCAAAACTGCATTTATGCTTTCAGACTTGACTAAGCTCACATTTTCTTGTTGAGCTTTCTTGTTTCTTGCCAACTCTCACATTTTTGATTGAGACTAAGACTATATTTACACTACAGCCTATGATGGCAAAACTTATGTAGCTCAGGGGTGTGAATATCCCCCCCCCCGAGCGACATAAGTCACACCAACATAAGCATTCGTGTGCACAGTGCTGTGAGAGTGGAAGAGCTTCTCCAGCTCACATAGCTTATGCCACTCACAGAGGTGATTTTTTTTATGCCAACAGGAGAGCTCTCTCCTGTCGACATAGAGCGTCTTCACCACATGCGCTGTAGCTTCAGGATTTGAACCTAAATCAGCTCTCAGAGACAATCTGGTCCACAGTATTCACATTTGGAAAATGTTATAGTTTTTCTTTTAAAATTGGAATTTGGTACATTTTAATATTTCAACTGCATGAAGGATGGGGGCCAAGCTTATATCTGCCATAGCTGAGGAAAGGAAGGAAAGTTGGTTCCAAGTAACCTTTCAATTTCCCTGGTGCAGAGCTGGCTAGGGGCCATAACAGCTACCAGCATAACTTAAAGCAATCTAAGGACTTCTTTAAAGTTATACCTGCTGCATCAGTCCCTATGAGACTTCTGTGCCAGCCAAGGACCAGGCAGCATGCCATGTGCTCTGGCACAATCCCTATGTTGATGGAGAGAAAATCCTTCACTGCCTCTGTAAGATCACTTTCTGGGTACATCTGGCTCCTGAGGCAGTGCAAAGCCAGAGCTGAGGAGCTATTCCAAGGAGCGTATCTCCTCTCTTGACAATTTCAACTGTTATTTAGAATAGTTATGATAGAAAAGCATCAGTGTCGGGCTCTCAGTTTTTTAAGAAAAACAAGACATACTTTCCAAGAGTCCTTTTTAGTTACTGCAACAACCAGAAAAAACGCTGACATGCTGAGGCCATTGAGCTAGTTGTAATGTACTGTCATGTAAGGGGTCTCATACCACATCTCACTGGCCTCCACATATTTGGAGTCACCTAATTTCTCCCTGTTCTGCTGCCATCCCTACTTTGTGGTCTGGTCTATACTACAAAGTTAGGGCGACATAAGTTGACTTGTTTCAACATAGTTTTACATGCATATACACCTTAATTTGTCTCCCACCAATGTAAACACCCCGTTCCATTGACGCAATACCACCACCTCCCGGAACAATGCAGTCACAATCAACCTATTTCTGTCAATGAAGTGCAGGCGATGCTAAACCTGGGGCAGGACAGGGATGAGCAGCAATGCTGGGTGAAAGCCAAGGAACTCTGGCAGACATATCAGAAGGTGATGGAGGACAACAACCTATTTGAAACCTTTCTCCCTATTTGAAAATGGTTTAGAGAAAAAAGCACTAACTTTTCATTCTTCACTTTACTTGTAAAATGTTAGAAAAATATGGCAGTCTAAATTACATAATCCACATCACTATCCTGTGCTCAGATAGAGTTAGAAGAAAGGAGGTAGAGGTGGCTTTTTAGGCTAGGCAGGGGGTCCACAATTCTCCTCATAGGGAGTACTTTGTTTATCTGAAGAGGAATGTCCCCTTTATCCTCTTGAATAATCTTGATGAAACTTTCATGGAGATGCTCTGCAATCCTCTCTGAAACATTTATAGGGCTGGTGGCCTTGGTGATGTCTCCTATTGCAGGAGAAGAAACAAGCCGCTCTGTGATGAGTTCTGCTGGCACCATTGCAGCAAACAAGCTACCAGCATATAGACCCAGGTGGCCTCAGGTACCAGCAGCAGATGCGTCCTCTGTGCCTTTGTCACCCTAGAGCAGGGGTGGGCAAACTTTCTGGCCCGAGGGCCACATCTGGGTATAGAAATTGTATGGCGGGCTATGAATGCTCATGAAATTGGGGGTTGGGTGAAGGCTCTGGCTGGGAGTGTGGGCTCTGGGATGGGGCCAGAAATGAGGAGTTCAGGATGTGGGAGGGGGCTCCGGGCTGGGGCAGGAGTTTGGGGTGCAGGAGGGTGCTCCAAGCTGGGATCGAGGGGTTTGGAGGATGGGAGGGGGATCGAGGCTGGGGCAGGGGAGGGGCTATGGGGTGCAGGCTCCGGGCGGCCTCAAGCAGCCCCCGGACGCAGCAGCATTTCCCACTTCCAGCTCTTATGCGGAGGTGCGGCCAGGTGGCTGTAGTCTGCCCGCTGCCCCGTTGGCAGGTGCCGCCCCTGCAGTTCCCATTGGCCGCAGTTCCCAGCCACCGGGAGCTGCGGGGGCGACGCTTGGAGCGGGAGCAGCACACGAAGCCCCCTGGTTTCCCCTAAATATAGGAGCTGGAGGGGGGGACATGCCGCTACTTCTGGGAGCTGCGGCACACATGTGTGGAGCAGCCCCTACCCCCACTTCCAGGCTGGAGCACGGGAGCGAGTCAAGCCTCAGACCTCGCTCCCCAGCAGGAGCTCGAGGGCCGGATGTGGCCTGTGGGCCATAGTTTGCCCACTCTTGCCCTAGAGCATGAGGTATCAGCCAAAATCACCATTGCCTGTAAAACATTGGCAAGATTCACTCAAACTTGCACTTTCCCTGTACTCGGACCCTAGGGCACCCAGCATCTAAACCAGGGATGGGGAACTATGGCCCACAGGCCAGATCTGGCCTGCTGCTTCAATTCATTCGGCCTTTGGCAAGTCTCTGTGTCACGGGCTGGAAGCCCCAAGCCTCGGTGTTCCCCTATGGGGCTGGAGCCATGAGCACCGGCTTGCCAGCAGCATGTCCCTGTGCCCCTCGGCAGAGAGGCGATCAGGGAAGTTCCGCTTGCTGCTCCCGCCCCCCAGTGCCAGCTCTGCAGCTCCCACTGGCCAATGAGAGCTGCGGGGGCAGGCAGTGCACACTGTGCAGAGCCACCTAGCCCCTCTGACGAAGGCCTGACCACTAGACAAGCCGGCTGCTTCTGGGAACAGGCGCTGCTCAGCCGGAGTCCGCACCCCAAACCTCTCCCATACCCCAACCCCCTGCCCCACTCCAGAGCCCCTAACCCTAGCCGGAGCCCTCACCCCAAGCTCCCCCCTGCACCCCTCATTTCTGGCCCCACCCCGGAGCCTAGGGGAAGCCCCAAGCCTCTACCGCCCCCTCCCGGTGGGGCTTTGTGTGGCCCCTGACTGATTTTTCCTGTGGGTCAACTGCCCCTGATGGAAAGAAAGATTCCCCACCCCAGTCTAAAACTTCCATGCAACAGTTTCCCCCTCCCACTAGTCCGTATTCACCCTGGCATGAGCTGCAAAGCAGTGCTGTAATGAGGTACTCCAAAGGTAAAGTGATAATTAACATTTCTTATTAAAGGTATTTATGGAAATAACATAAGAGAGTTTTAAGACTTCTCTTTCCCTTGGTTACATCTGTAAATCTAATTATGTATCTATCTGTTTTAATCAGCAACCTCTGGCGTGGTATGCTTGAGAGGTGGTCCCTCCATGCCGGCTGAATATCTGACCTGGATCAGGCAAACAAGGCGGGATATGTTCTGCAAGATCCTCCAGTTCTCTACAGCTGCTGACTGCGAGCATGACTAGAAGGACCAAATGACCAAGAGTAGTGTGAAGAACCAAGAATGGAAAGTGTGGCTGCTGCTTGAGAGGCAAAGAGACTGAAAGTTGCAACAGGAAGTGCACCGGGATATTTTGGTTTGTCTCAGGCAACAAACACAGATGTTGCAGATCCAGAACATAACTGAACTAAATGCCTGAAGACCTGGACACAACCACCATTCCAATCACTGGAAAACTCCATGGTCATATGACCTCTCAGCA